GCGCGGCGGGAGCGGCAGCTGCGGCCGCTGCCCAGAGGAAGAGCAGCTCCTCCCGGCGAAATGCATGGGGGAATATGTCATATGCAGACCTCATAACCAAAGCTATCGAAAGTTCTCCAGAGAACCGCTTAACTCTGTCCCAGATTTATGACTGGATGGTGAAGAGTGTGCCTTATTTCAAGGACAAAGGAGACAGCAACAGTTCTGCAGGCTGGAAGGTACGTTGATGTTTTTTTTTTTGTGTGTGTTTTGGTAGCCTACTTTTATTCAGTAGATTGTGTGTGTGTGTGTGTATTGGGGGGGGGATGAATGACTGTCTATGCCTGGTAAAGCCATTGCCTATGACAGCTCTTGCACAAAGTTTTCTAGTGGGGAGTTTTGGTGGCTTTACAGGAACTTCATTGAGCTTTATGCTGCAGTACGTTTTATCTCTGCTATCACTGTAATATCCCCCCAGGGATCTCTGGTTTGGCTGTGGTTTTTAATAATCTGTTTATTGTGACTTTATAACACTTTTTGGTCGGGGTTGTTTATTTATTTATTTATTTATTTCATTTTATCTCCATCAGCTATAAGTCTCCTGCTGGGACTTCTGCTAATGTTTATGCTGCGTCCTTACTTTTGTCACAGATGTTTCTACATTGAAGATAGAGCATGCATAAAGAGGTTGTTTTATCATTTGCTCCCTTTCATGGTCTTGTGAAACCACGTCTTCCTTCATTGCCATCCATCCAGTTCATAGCAGTTCAGCAAACTAATCAAATGCTAACATGATGTGACTTCTTCTGGCAGTATGTGATTTATATGAACCTGCTGACTCAACAGGTTTTTTTTTTTGTCTTTGCCATATTGCTGATTTGAATGTACTATTCAAAAATACTTCAAAATCTGGCTCAGTACAACATTTCTCTTCTGCTGCTGTTACTTTAAAGCTTTATGGAATACCAGCTTCCCATACAGGAGTCTGTGCCTTGAATGAAGTTGTGTTCAGGATGTTTGTGTCATAAAGAAATACCAGAAGCACTCGTGTCCTGGAGACTGTCCAAAACATTACACAAGAGGGGACTTAAATTTTCTGATGTGGTGTGACAGGCCCTCCCACTGAACACTACCGAAGGGTGTAAACCTCCTTTTGGAGACACATAGTTTCAGTGGTGTCTGTCAATAAATTAATGACAGTCTATTCTCCCAGTGGGAAATTGTACTGAGTCTATAGTCATTCACTGAGACTTATTAGCACTTCCCTCTGTTGTGTGTTGTCTGGGTTTGCCAGGGAACTTGTAGTGTTCTTTTGTCTTCCCCTGTCAGAGCAGACTCCATGTTTGAGTCATGTGCTGAGAGATGACGTGCTCAAATCAGTCACAAATGCCAATGAGAATT